CGCAGCCCTCGACCTCAAAGGTGCACGAAGCCGACCGAATAGGAATGATCCAGACCGTAGACTCCGCCTCGGAAAAACCCGAGGTATTCCTCCGAGCCTATCCTATAACCTGAAAAAGCGTAGAGTGTGATTGTGAGGTATGGGGAAATCCCTCGGCCGCCATCCTAGATTCGGGATCGTCAGCGGTCGCCATTTCTTGGAGGTTGACGAAAGAGTTAGGAAGGGAGGGAGAGGTTCAACCCCTCCGACCGGATGAACTGTATATATCCGCTACGGAAGACAGTATTCATTGTAAAGGGCCAATAACGAACGTGCCTATACGGGTGGGGCAGGTGCATTGTTTGTGCGACGTGATCGTGTTGGATGTACAGGCGTATGATGTTCTGCTAGGCATTCCGTGGCAGGCGGTGGTTGGAGCGCGAATGCACTTTGACAGTTGTAAGGTGGTGCTCACATCGGCCCACCCCAAACCCCAAACGATACCAATGAGACTGGCGGTGCGCATGCGCACCCAGCCGGCGCCTCGACTCACCATGAAAGCCCATCAAATAAACATGATCTGACGTCTATCACCAGGCGAAAATGAACCATCGACGGAAACTGACGAGGCTGATGCACCCGACCGATATCCGATCCAAGTTCAGGATCGGTGGCGCCATTCTTGGCGGCGAGAACCATAGGAAATAGTTCGGAGTGAGTCCCACCGGTCGCACGCGTTCTCCTCCGTGGTACAGGGGGAACCCCTGTTGAGGGTGTCCCGAATAGTAGACCTTTCAGAACCCCCTGCGTCCTTGTATCTCAGGACGGACCCCCTACCTGAAAGATTTACTGAGCTGAGGGGGCTGTGCGATTTATCTTTTCGACCCCCTCGGCCCCTACTCACGAATGAAAAAGCCGCGATACTCTTGAAAAAGGGGGTGTCGTTTCAACCCCGAACAAGGGAATATCGGTGGGGACCGAGGGAACATACGCAAGCCTTTTCGGTAGAACCCTCGGCCGAACCCGAACTGGATAGTGACAGTGACATGGAAAGCGAGCCGATGAGCCCGACGGACAGTCAACTTATTGCGACTCTCCTTTCGGCGAAAACCGACAACTCTTTGTTTGGGGCCTCACCCGATGCCAACGCGGCGGTCCCCACGGTTACGACGATGGTCTCCTTTCCTGGGGGAACCGTAGAAGTTCAGTTACCAGCCCGTGTTCCGGATGAATACCGACGCCTTCTCCTGGCAGTTATATGGGCCTATCCTTAGGCCGTCAGTATTCAGGACCACGACATAGGGCTAACCCCTTTGATACAACACGCGATTGATACCGGGGATCACGCCCCGATACATTGCCGACCGTACCGATATTCCCTTAAAGAAAGACAACTGCCATTGGAAAGGGTACGGGAATTCGAGCGGTTGGGGTGGGTCGAACCATCGCTGGGACCGTGGTCTTTTCCCGTGGTCCTCGTGCCAAAACGAAATGGTTCGGTCCGGGTATGTATCGACTATTGAAAACTGAACGCTATCACTACCAAGATGTGTATCCCTTGCCGCGAATCGACGATTTGTTGGATGCCATCGGGGCCGCTCGAGTCTTTTCCAAGTTCGATATCCGACACGGTTTTCACCATGTCGCAGTCCGACCGGAGGACCGACCCAAAACCGCTTTTGTCCTATTTGAAGGCACGTGGCAATGGGTTCGGTGTCCCATGGGAATTTGTAACGCCCCTGCAACGTTT